TTGGGCACAAGCTATACAGTATGTTATTAAGGAAATTTATCCCTGACAGTGGCACTATTGCCTACTATTATTTCATTCTCCAAATGTTTCGAGATCTTTAATTTACTGCCAATAATAGTATACACAAGAGTCTTCGATTTTTTTGTCTCATCCAAATGACTAGACGCTGTTCCTCACATCTCTGACACGGGGAAATCAGGTTGGAAATCACAGTGAAAGTTCTCAGGACTGTATGGTTATTGATGAGACAGCCCTATACCCTTTGAGCCCCCCCCCCCCCTCGCACCCCTCGTTGCTCTGAGCTAGTTATGGCCCCGAGTGACTCCCCCAAAGTAACAGTGTTTCTTTGAATATATAAAGTTGTTAATAATTTATCGGAGTGGATATTCGCCATTCGAATGGCTAATAGCCTAGAGCCATAAGGATGGTTATTCGCCATTCGTTTTATATAATAAACCTAACATTCTTGTAGATTGTTTGTGCTTTTATTCAAAATACAGACCCAGAATCACTTTTTAATTGTCATTAGTTATTTGAAGCTTCATGGTGCATATGAACACCTTCGTTCACAGCAGAAGCGTAGACACCGAAACCGACATCGTGTGTAGATGGAAGTAGCACCCATTTGAAAAATTCTGTATTCTTGGAAATTTTGTATCTTTACTAATCCAGAAACATTGAAAACACATTTCTTTGCACTTTTGTTTATCACAAAGTAGATAAAATACAAACTTAATCTAATTTCATTCCTACGAAAGCAGCAGATGCTTATTGAAATTGTTCTACCTGATCTGCCTGCCTGCCTACCACTCGGAGTAGGCTACCCATATTATTTCATTGCCAACCGCATGTTCTATCTATATACCATTCGTATATTTCATTTCCTACCAATACTTCATTTCCAACTGCGTGTTATGGAGGGCCTGACAATGACAGCTGTCTAGTCGTTCGGATGGGACGAAAAACCGAGGTCCTGTGTACGTAAAAGATCCCTTGACAGTTGGAATTCGATATAAGAGTAGGCCGTAGCGCCGCTGCCCGGGCAAAATTTCCCTCATGGCACACTGTATGGCGTATGCCCGTCTTCATTAGCCCAGGTTAGGAACAGAACAGTGTGACGTTAAACCCCATTTCATTTAATTTCCAACTGCGTGTTATATTTGCCACCCGTATATTTCTATTTATACCTTCCATTTCAAACTAGAGAGAGAGGGAGACCTCAATGACAGACCTTATGATATAGCGCACACGTGCTGACCATGATCATAATTTGTTTCGGCTATTTCCCCTTGTCAGTGGAGCAGGACGGAGGGCCTGATAGGGACAGCTGTGTAGTCGCTGGGATGGGACGTAAAAAACTAGGACCCGTGTATACATTGGCGTATCCGGGCAAAATTTCCCGCATATGAAACTGGAATGAGAGAGAGGGTCATTTCGGGACTAACACACAGGGTTCCATTTTTTTTATTATTTGAAAAATTCCTTTCGCGCGTAGGGGTCTTTAGACTTTAGCAGTGGTAGGACCCGGAGAAAGCCCATGGGGTTGGACAGGCGACCCTACTCCTTGTCACGTACAACAGGTGAATCAAAACCATGTCATTCGTTTTTATTTTTCATATTTAGCAGCAGGATTTTATTTCATTTTTTTTTTTTATCTACCCAAACCTTTCATTTTCAACCACTGTTTATTTACAATCCATATATTTGAATAAAACTATTTAGTCTTATTTAAACCTTGCAAAGACAGGTCATAAAGTATGGTACTTTTTCGGGTAGTCGCCACTAGGCTATAAATAGTCCTTCAATGGCACTGTGTCAAACAACGTTTGTTGTAGTAGTTGTTTTCGCATTTTTACTGCAACGAAAATGATGTATGTGCATTTTGTAGGACGAAGTTAAACTAGTTGTAGGACAGAGAATATCGATTTAAAAAAAAGAATGGCAGATAACGAAAACGAATGGCAAATAACGTAAACGAATGGTGAATAACTCTTTGCCATTCGAATGGCGAATAGCCTCTGCCATAATTTGAGTGTTTCCTTTATGTGTTTATATATTTAGTTTGTATTGGATATATGTAGCGAGATTGTAAATCCTCGATATCTGAGTGGTTGTTCTGACCTCATCCGACCTTTATCGTCTGGAAAACAGATATACAGTACAGATCCAGATGAATATCCAGTCTCAAGGCCAATGATTAAACAAAATGCTGCAATACAGGTTTGATAATTTTAAAGTAGGCTACTAAGATGTATACCAAAGTTGAGAACAGGCTGCAGGACCTTGGGTCGGAGTCGAGTCGCAAATCCTCGGACCCAGAGCCCAAATTGAGTCAAAGTCACTGACTTTAGTTCAAATTCAGGTCTCAAATCTTCACAGACCCCAATTCCCACTTAAGTGACCATTTCATCAAATGAGCCTGCAATTCATGGCTAATAAGGCAATTCAGAGTTATTTCCCCTCACAGCAACTCAAGGCCTTAGCTCTTTCAAGTCACGAGTTGTCACAAATGTCAAGTCAAATCTCGAGTCATAATGAATATTTCAAGTCGAGTTGCAAGTCAGATCTAAAGCATTGTATTAAAATTGTACAACTCCTTAATTTCGGACAAGAAAATAAAAATTGTTAATATCATTGGACTTTATATGTTGATTTGTTTTCTCGTCTGACAATCTGTCTTCAATGATTATTACGTATTTAGATAAATCCAGTGTTAAGATATAACCAATTTTGTGTTCCAGAGCCAACACAAAAAGCCCAAATTTCTCATCTATGCCACACCAATTTGATTTTCTCTTCTTCGAAAACACCTGTTAAAAATTGTCCTTCATATTTCTTTGGGAAAAAAAAACTACTAACTGTTTACATTGTTCTAAAGCTTTTAGTTCCAAATTGTTATGTTTTCAAAATGTAAGCAAAACATCTTTCACATAGTTAATTTGGCTATTTATTTATCAAGACGCCTAAGAACAGAAAATTAAATTGGTGTGGCCTAATGACTTTTCCCAATATCCAACTAAATCAAGGAGGTTTATTAGCCTTTAGCGTCTTTAAAAATTATCATGCTGTCATAGCAATAGCCTATCAATGCATTCTCACATATCAGGCTAAATTCGTGCCACTCACCGCTGAGATATACTTATTTTCACTGACAGTAGCAATAGAAACTTTAGATAATTAGATAGTTACATTATTTAATAATTATTTATTTTACCAATATGCATTTTGATAAGACTTGCTTGTGATAGTATGTGGTCTTAAAATCCATATTTGTGGAATATTATGCTTCTAATCACATATAGACCCCCCAAGATGTTAATTAAACATTATTCAGTGTGATCATGTTTTCTAGACATAATTTGATGTTAGTCATGCTAGTCAGATTTATATTATTGACTGTATTAAAGACATGCTAGTCAGATTTATATTATTGATTGTATTGAAGACATTAGTCAGATCTATATTATTGATTGTATTATAAAACATGCTAGTCAGAGTTATTGACTGTTTTGTAGACATGTGGAGAAGCTGACTTTATTAATGATACACCACCCCAGTATGATGAAGTTTATGCTGCATTTGTTATCAGTACTGTTGGTAATGCTGATATAGATGTCATTGATCCTTCACCAGCTCTGGTACGTAGGTATTATATTAGACATCATTGATCCTTCACCAGCTTTGGTAGGTATTATATGTTGTAGATATAGATGTTATTGATCTTTCACCAGGTATTATATGTTACTGATACAGGTATCATTGATCTTCCACCAGCTTTGGTAGGTATTATATGTTGTAGATACAGATATCATTGATCCTTCACCAGCTTTGGAAGGTATTATACTTTTAAATACATAGTTGGGCATAAATATTGTTATCAGTCGAATGTGATCCGTGCTGGAAAAAAGGATCGGAATGTACAGTCTAATGAATTATGGGCAAAACTAGTGAAAAGTATGGATTTGGGTCAAAATGGAGAATTTTCACACAATTTAGTCCATAAAGTACCTTTATTTGGAAGGTTTGTAAGAGTTACAAACTCAATTTCTAAAACTTCCTCAGTGTGACTTATTATGCCAGCATGAGTCACAAATATCAAGGCATTGTAAACATGATTAAAAAAAACCATTTGTTGGCATGTGACTGGATAATTGAATATATTTTCAATTTCATGCAGAGTTAACAGGTAATGATCCTGTCACCAAAACCTTGAGTATGGTATACCCTATATATATTGATCAATGTTTAGAGATTGTCTTTTTGTCTCTTTAAACTTGTAAGCATTGTTTGACTAAATCGAAATTCGGGATCAGCTTAATCAATTATTATAACTGATTTCAAAAACTTGAACGCACAACTTCAAAATGCCTGGGGTTGGATGGCTGAATGGTTAGCGTGTGCGCAGTGTATCATAAGGTCTGTCTTTGAGTCAACCGGCGTGGTTTTGATTCCCCGTAGGGTCGCCTGTCCAACTTCGTGGGTTTTCTCCGGGTCCTCCGGTTTCTTCCCACTGCTAAAGACCCCTATGTGCAAGCGAATTATTGAAATAAAAGTAACCCATTTATGTTAGTCTCGAAATGACCTAGTTTGTGTCGAGTGGGCATTAAACCCAATCTCTCTCTCTTTCTCTCTCAAAATGCCTATCTTCTGTTTCAAATCTATGCATTAAGCACTTTTCATATTGTTTGAATTGTTTTTCAGGCAATACCAGGTGTATTAAAGTATATCTCGGCTAAAGATATACCAGCAGGTGGGGTAAATAATTGTTATCCTGCAAGTGATTCTGCCGCACCTGAAGAAGTAAGTAGTACTGAGTAACCCTTTAGGTACATGTAGATGTTGACTACCGGTACCCCACTTCCTTGAAGAAATAAGAGAACAATTCATATAGTAGTATGTCCAGGGACAGTCTGAATCCGTTGTATAGTGTTGAGTAAATCTAATTGATAAAAATTATGAAAAAAAAAGATTAAGACTAGATTTTGTGTTATACTTTTCAGGTATTTTGTAGTGGTAAAGTTATTTTTGCTGGTCAACCTCTTGGATTGATAGTAGCAGGTAATTTAATATTGGCATTCATTACAGTTGTAGCCTGATTAGTGGCATTTGCTGGATTTCTGAATAGCTTAAATATATTTTGATGGGTTCGGGGGGGGGGGGGGGCGACAAGTTTATATTCGTCACCACCTTACAGGTTGGTTTCTGTTAGACACTGTCATAAATGAAACATGGTTTCTTTTAACCACCTAACATTTCAATAGAACACTCTCTTACATTCTCAGATAACACCTAACATTTCAATAGAGCATTCTCTTACATTCTCAGATAACACCTAACATTTCAATAGAACATTTTCTTACATTCTCAGATAACACCTAACATTTCAATAGAACACTCTCTTACATTCTCAGATAACACCTAACATTTCAATAGAACACTCTCTTACATTCTCAGATAACACCTAACATTTCAATAGAACACTCTCTTACATTCTCAGATAACACCTAACATTTCAATAGAACACTCTCTTACATTCTCAGATAACACCTAACATTTCAATAGAACATTCTCTTACATTCTCAGATAACACCTAACATTTCAATAGAACACTCTCTTACATTCTCAGGAAAAATGGAATGTAAAGAAAAAAAATAATTATGAGAATATGCTTTTTTGATGAAGTCTGTATTCAATTTTCATTAATTCTCTAATTACAATGTAAAACGAAATGTGTTTAATTTCAGAGGACCAAATAACTGCTGATAGCGCAGCTGAAATGGTTAAAGTTACGTATAAAAATGTTCTGCCTCCGATTTTAACTATTGATTCTGCCATTCGAAATAATTCATTCTTTACACCTTTAACTGGACTTAGTGCTGGAGATGCAGATGGTAAGTGGATGATGAAGGAGCCTTGAAATGTGGTCGTATATTGTTCTTGTGTATATCCATTAGCCAGTCAGTCTATCTACTCATTTGTCTAAATGAAATTGGAAGTTATAATGCTGTCAAATTTCAATACTTTCTTATAAATTCTTTCAGAGTTATTGGCCTTTGCTAGTGGCAAAAGTTACCATTTGATTTTTATGAAATTAAGACTTTTTGATTAAAATAGTGAGACGTAAAAGCCTATTAATATCTAAATGCAGATACATATAAAATTTAGCACAAGGTACAATTTTGTGGAAACATAACTGGATGTATTACTGTGCAACATGTGGGCGAGGATAGGCTATTCTTGTATGTATCACACAAATTATGCACTTACTAGGATAATGATGATGGGCCATTCAGTGAGCTATGAGGTAAATTTTGCCTGGACAGAAGCACTGCAGCCTACTCTTATATCATATTCCAACTGTCCAGGGTACTTGTGCATGCCAATGTGTACACAGGACTTCAGTTTAATGCCCCATCCGAGCAACTTTACATTCTTCCTTGCCACGCCCTCCGCCCTGCATAACTGACAAGTAGGATTCATGTTGAAGAACTTCAAAACCAGGATCGAAAATGGGACCTCCAGGTTAGCGAGCCATCGTCTAGCTCACCGAGCCACTGTGGCTTCCGACAGCAAAATGAAGGTGGTATATGTAAAAGTTTATTTCCGGTGGGTGATGTAGACCTATATTTGTACAGGTTACATGTTTATATGACTAGATTTTATTTATTATTTGTGTATCAGTGTGTCTGACCATCTTATATTTATATTATTTGTATATGAAGGTGCCATAGCTAAATCAGCTCATCAACTAACAGGCCAGATATTTTGTACTGAACAGTATCATTATCATCTCGAAACACAGGTAGGCTACTTATCTCTTTCATATCTTCAAATTCCAACTTCAAAGGGTTTTTTACATGCATAGATGGATCCCGGTTTTATATATACCATCCAAACAACTAGGTGCACTTTCCTTGTCGATTCCACAGGCACCATTGTGGATTGGTAAGAACCCGGCCTTGCTTAAAGTCTAGCCCCTGACATTGTAGTTGAGAGCCCAGTAGTCCAGTACCCTATATCTCAACCAGGCATCTTCCCATCTCTACTTTTGGTCTAAAGCTAAAAAACATGAAAATATAAATAAACCATAAACTAGATCAGACCACTGTATCAGATCTAATGCTAGATACAAGAAATAATAGATTTCAAACAAACCATAGAAGAGACCCCTGAGGATGTGGGCCCCCTTAGACATTAGACAGTATATTTAAAATATAAATTATCAAACAATATAAAGAAAACAAAATCGGGGAAATTTCCACTTACATATTTTTTGAAAATTTAATTCATTCATTTTAAAAATTAAATGATAGAATTGTATTGGTGGGTGGGCCCCCTTTGTCTCCTGACAACTAATATTTTCAGACGCAGTCTGCCACTGGTAATAGGTCTTGCTAAAAACATGAAAATTAGTCTAGGCAAGATAGCATAAGTGCGGGCATTTGCTTCAATAGAAATGCTGACCACGGTTTATGGTCGGTCAAGACGTATATTATCACCAAAAAAATCCAAAATGACTGCCGGTTTTGTCCTGTAAATTCTGATTTCCACCCAATTATCATAATATAATCGAGTTTGGTATCAAAATATACGTTTTCGGGGTTTCTGAATCCATTTCCGTACACATTTTTGTGATAAGTGTTACCGCTGAGTCAATATCAGGGGTTATTCAAGGTGTTGGTCAGGTTTGGTGGGAAAATTCGAATTTTGCATAAGGATCAAGTTTGGTGTCAAAATATACATTTTGGAGGTAACTAAATCTATTTTTGTACATATTTTAGTGATTAAGAGATTCCCTGTGTCAATATAGGAGAAAGTCCATAATTAGAGATTTAGATTTCTGATTGGGGATCGGAGATCAATGATACTCCTACCTTAGACCTAATACAATGACATTCATCCAGTATCAACTAAATTTCATTTGGAATGTCTCCCAGCTCGCTGCTGTAGCGGCATAGTGGTATGTCGAATGGGGCCACTCCCAGATCACTACGGAAGCTGGTCGTGCCTTTTGAAGCATGTGGCATATTTTTTTCACAAAATGATTCAAATGTTGAGACACAGACAGTATTGCCTGTTTGACAGTGTTTGTCAGATATGCAAGGAACCATTTGATAATGAACAGCCCACCATTATTGCTCAATGTTGTAACGCTATTGAAGTGGAGGCGCCTGTAGGCCTATCAGGGTATACGCGGTCTGTGGTGCCAAACTTCAATTTTGTGGACCATTGTCTTTTACATGGTCTGTAGGCAGCTGGTACATTACAACAGATATAATGGGTGACCACTGTTACAACAGTAAACATTAGACTTGCAACACCTATTATTTAGACATGCCAAGACAGGACAAATGACGACTTTTAATCTAGTTGTATTTGACAAATGAACATTGAGGCCGGTGTACCTAAATAGATGACACTCATTAATTATTTGAACATCTAATACTAGCATTTAAATTATTCATCCCTCTGTTTAACCTAAGCAAAAAATCTCCTTGCAGAGGCGTGCTGGGCAGGTAGTCAATCGCCTACCCTGCTCTCATAAATGCAAAAGAAACTGGAAATGGTTGATAACGCTTGAATCCGATGCAATTTCTTACCAGGGTATAAGGGAGGGCGCGGGGGTGGCTATGTGCCGTGCCCCTCTTCCGAAAATGTGCCCTCAAATTTCGACAGTTACTTTAAAAAAAGTTAAATACCCAAGGAAATGCCCACCCTAAAGAAACATTGTGCCCCTTTTTCTACTGCCCTTTCCCTTTTTCCAACCTAATCCAGATATACTACAAACCAATCGCACTCAATGTACGTACAGAATATGTCCGTTTTTCATTGATGATGTAAAGGCCCCATATAATCAGACCCTGATTTCCACTGATGACTTCCAGAATAGACTTCACAGCTGGATTAATATTTCCATAATATTCAGAATCAACTAATTTGTCTTAGTTTTATTTATTTATCTAAATGAATTTAGGAAAATTGCAACACGAGTGACAGGAACGTTTTTGTCGCTTATATATTAACTCAAGGCCAATAAGTAACTTCCTTGGCCTGGCTTAAAGTGTATCCTGATCATCTTCTCAGTCTTGGTGTTGTCAGTCTACTTTCAATTTCAATTATTTGAGTCCGCAGTATAGCTAATCACCAATATTTGTATGGAAATGGATTCAGCTGCCCCGAAAGGATATGTTTTGATACCAAACTCGATCAAATTATGATAAGTGGATAAAACGTGGCATTTCCCAGTCAAAACTGGTGGCCATTTTGTATTTTTGCCAATTTGACCCATTTGGGCACGGATTTCGGACTGGGACTTTTTTTTGTCCCCCGTCCGTCTGTCTGTCCGTCACACTTTTTGGGACACAATAACTCTCCTTCTAATTGACCTAGAATGTATGTTCAAACTTGGTGTAGGTGTTTATTAGGTCAATGCCTTGATGGAGTTCGAAGATGAGCATTTTCTGCTTAGGGTAAGCAGAGATAAGCAATTTGATTGGTTGATGCTTTGGGACACGATAACTTTAGTTCTAATTAAGTGAGAGTGATGAAACTTGGTGTATAGTTTCATTACATCAATACCTTGACTAAGTTCGATAATGAGCATTTTCTGCTCAGGGTAAGCAGAGCGATAAGCAATTTGATTGGCCAAGACTTTGGAACACAATAACTCTCCATCTAATTGAGCTAAAATGTTCAAACTTGGTGTAGGTATATATGAGGTGAATGCCTTGATGGCGTGTGAAGATGAGCATTTTCTGCCTAGGGTAAATAGAGATAAGCAATTCGATTGGTTGATGCTTTGGGACACGATAACTTTATTTCCAATTAATTGAGAGTGATGAAACTTAGTGTATAGTTTCATTACATCAATACCTTGCCTAAGTTCGATATTGAGCATTTTCTGCTCAGGGTAAGCAGAGCGATAAGCAATTTGATTGGCCGAGACTTTGGAACACAATAACTCTCCTTCTAATTGAGCTAGAATGTTCAAACTTGGTGTAGGTGTTTATGAGGTCAATGCCTTGATAGAGTGCGAAGATGAGCATTTTCTGCTTATGGTATGTAGAGATAGGCAATTTGATTGGTTGATGCTTTGGGACACAATAACTTTAGTTCTTATTAAGTGAGAGTGATGAAACTTGGTGTATAGTTTCATTACATCAATACCTTGACTAAGTTCGATGATGAGAATTGTCTGCTTAGGCTAAGGAGCAATAAGCATTTTGATTGGTCAAGACTTTCGAACATAACAACTCTGCTTCTAATTGAGGTAGAATTTTTAAACTTGATGTAGATGTTCGTCTTGACTGAGTTCAATGATTAACATATCGAGCTAAAGCTAAGCAGAGATAAGCAATTTCCTTGGTCGATGCTTTGGGACAAAATAACTTTGATTCTATCTGATAGAGAGTGATGAAACTTAGTTTGATAATCAGTTTGATTGCTCGATACTTTTGAAAAAAATAGATGTGCGATTAATTAATATGTGTCATCTATTTATTTGGGGATTTCGGAGGGGGACATCAGCCTCACTGTTGGCTTGTTGGGTGATAGTATACGTCTAGACAGACCATAAACCGTGGTTGGCATTCTATTGCAGCGACTGCCCGAAATAATGCGAAATTGAGTTAAAATGCCTGGACTAAATATAGTTTTCAAACAAACCATAGACTAGATTTATCTCTTTATCTGATCTACTAATGCTAAAACATGAAAATATGAATTTTAAAAAAAGACATAGAAAATATATCTCTAAAAGGTCTAATCTAATGCTAAAAACATGAAAATATCAATTTAAAAAAAACATAGAAGAGACCTCTATAATAAATTTAATGCTTAAAACATGAAAATACAGATTTCAATGCTAAAAATTGTCATATTCATTTGAAAAAATATCTTATTAATTACAAAATCCGTCCAAATTTGAAACTACTAAGAAAGATTGCATTTAAATAAAATAATATAGGCATATATTTGTCTTAGAGGATGAACCCTCCCTCTCTTTTTCAATAGATATCAATTTGCTACCCCACGGAAGATGGAATGAATATATTGGCAGGTGCACAGTGGCTCAATGGAGTTCAACGAGCAGTTGGTCAGGTTTTAAATGTCCCTGCTAGTACGTAAGTGAACAATATAGGTGGCAAGTATATCTCCATAGGTCTGTCGGTCCTCCACAATGTCTTGGGTACAAATTTATTTTATCTATGCAAAGCACAAGTTATCTTCCATTAATGTTGAAATTGATTGAGCTTGTATTACAATATTTGTTAAAACTCTGTGGGATTGTTCATAAGGGTATTGTTCCAATCGTGAATTTTAAATGTATTTTGTAGTTATATTTTTATACACATTTTGACATGCAAAATTTTTTCGATACCAAATTTAGAAGTTATGTGATAACTAATTGCAGAGTTATGGCCCTTGATCACCATGGAAAATTTTTTCTTGCAGTATAACAGTGGAAGTAAAGAGAATAGGTGGAGCTTTTGGGGCTAAAATTACACGTAATTGTCCCGTATCAACAGCTTGTGCATTGGCAGCTCACATTTTAAACAGGTGAGTGATGAGATTGACAAGTCTGTGTAGAACAGTAGGACCCTTTACATCATTTCATTTCATGTGTGAAATATATATTATATTAATATATTATAAATTGTACAATTACATAACTTAATAATTCCAATTAGTCGCTAAAACTTGTGGTTTTTAATTTTTTAACGTTATTTTATCTGGATTATCGCCCTTATTATTGTGATTTTTTATCACCTTCTAAGATATGACGTCATTCCCAAAATAACGTCGCAACTCAGTCAGTAGACGACTGTCCCTCAAGACAGTCTACATTTCCTATTTGCTTCTTTGTATTCTTTGTATTCTTTGTTTTTGTTTTTGTGACGATGGAACATGTACCCTATATGTATTGAATACTGAAGCATTTCTCTATTGAATTTAGAGTTTAGACTACTTTTTTATACATTTCACCGATGTGGTTACTTGTATAGTAGTTTGACTACATATGCTTACATTCGTATTTCGTGTAGCATATAGCAGATCATGATTCATGCTGGCATTACACAATGGGTTCTTTGGGTTGTATTCCTAATTGTTTTCAAATACAGACCCGGGACTGTACAGCGCAGTGGACGCTTACAGCTAGCCCCCGGATCCATTCACTTTTTTTGAATTGTCTGTATGTTTGTGTTTTCCAGAGTATGATGTCCTGTCCGTGTATTTGTTTTTGTGTGGTGCAATCCCCCTGCACTTACTATTAGAGTGAAGTAATTTGACTGAAATTTTAATTTTCAGCATATTCTCTATTTTTTAATTATTATAGCACAATTTGTCAGCTCTTAATCTAATCTTACCTAATGCCGCTTTTAGCAAAGCAGAGATTAGAATTCTAGCTAATTGTTCTGGTGTAGATGACATAAAGTGAATATCTTGACTGTTCCATGATGATCATTTATTAATTAAATAGAGATATGTAATTTGATTCGTCAATCAGTGTCATCTATTTGATTTTGGCCGAGGACCTGAGGGACAGCTGTCTAGTCATGTGGATTGGACAAAAAAGCTGAGATTCCATAAAAGAACCCATGACAGTTGAATTCTATATAGGAGTAGACCTGCATGGCATATGCCCATCTTCCTTCGCCCATTCGGTGCAAACCAGTAGGATGTTAAACGCTATTTCATTTCATTTGGTTTTGGATTAAGCCCCACATGAGCTTCTTTATAATATTAATATATTGTTAATTTATTAGACCTGTTTGTATATTGTTAATTCAGACCTGTCCGTTTGATGGTGAATATCCACACTAATATGAAAACACTAGGAAAAAGAATGCCATGTCAAGCTCAATATACAGTAAGTTTGAATTAAAATCCTCACTCTTGATTGATTGAAACCATTTAAAGATATTTGTTTCCTTTCACAGAACTTAATGTAACATTTAATTGGAAAAATATATCTGGCTGGAAAACCAAAGATTTTGTTTTTTTCATATTTTATGTGATACCAGTCTCAGTATTTACTAAATATTAGACAAGTTTGTCATTGTGTCAAATTCTTAGTTGTGTACATTGTCAGAATTTGAAATAAGACACGTCAATAGCATTAGCTACATACTGCCCTGGCAAAATTCCCCTTATAGCACACACAGCATGGCATGTGTCTGTCTTCATTAGCCCGGGTGGGTGGAATGGCCAAATGGTTAGCGTGTGCATGTTTTATCATAAGGTCTGTCATTGAGTCAGCTGGCGTAGTTTCGATTGCCCGGTTGTATGTAACAAGGAGTAGGGTTGCCTTTCCTCCCACTGCTAAAAAACCCTACGCACAAGCGAATTATTGAAATAAAAATGACCTAGTTTGTGTTGAGTGGATGTTAAACCCCATTTCCCTCTCTCTCTCTCTCTCTCTCTCTCTCTCTCTCTCATTTGCCTGGTTGGTGCAGGAACAAATGACATTAATGGAATGACAAATGAAGCCAGGGGAAGAATGATCTAAATCACATTTTTGTCTTTTCGCAAAACAGACTTTTGGATGAGTCTGCTTGACCTGGACAGAACAACGAGTGGGTTTAATTACAACTTCAAAATGATGTTTAATATGAATCATAATTACCAGTATAACAACTGACTTCCACTTTTCAGCCAAATTAAGGTCAAAAAAAGGGTACGATGGGCATATTTATCCGGGAGGCCATTTCAGAAGGGCCTTGGTTCGATGTGACTCTGATCGTTTTTACCTGAAATTGATTGTTCAACAGAAAGCTTATACAATTTGCTATGAGATGCCGCCATTTACTGGGGTTTGTTGAAAAACTGACTTAGATCGTTTTTCTCTGGGGCTCTCCAAATGTTTTATTTGTGTCAACAGGTTGGTTTTACGGATGACGGTTTGTTAAATGGTGTTAAAGTTGACTATTACAATGATTGTGGAATGACAGCTAATGATAAGGTTCCTATTGTCAGAATGCCAGGATGGTTAGATAACGGTAAAATTATTTTATTCTAATTAAAAAAGTAGTAAAAATACATCACTCTGTTTATATTTGGGACTGGTTTCTGTAGACACATCCATTGCTGTGTTAAAATATGTTTTTAAAGTCTGAATTTTCTTTCACTGTAAACAATAGGAAATCATAGACGTCATAGTATAAATCAGAGCTTTTACTTCAAAATTTTGACATTCTGTAATTTATTTACTTCAGATAAGCAAGGAATATAATTTTTAAAATAAGGGATAAGGTGGCTATCAAGACCTGGTTATCCCAAATGTCAGTGACTAGTTTCGTTGGTATTGAATTCTTCAGACTGATTGGACTCACGTGGCGGGCATTTATATTTATACTATTCCGAAACCCTGGTGGGGTTTCCATGGTTACTAATTGGCGTTGGCCCCTTGGCGGTGTTTGCGAATTTGTTACCGGGGTCGGTAGCTCGTATACCGGGGTTGTACTAGTATGTGTCTCTCTTTTGTGGACCGATGTGAGATTGTTGTGTCTCTCTTTTGTGGACCGATGTGAGATTGTCCGTTGTATTAACTGTCCATTTAATACAACGGACAATCTCACATCGGTCCACAAAAGAGAGACACATACTAGTCACCTCCTACTTCCGATTTCCAAGGCATTTTAGTGCAAACCTTGACTATCATACAAATAAACCATCTGGTACTATTCCGTACCCATATCATATTAAACCCCTTGGGCGCCATGTTGAATCACACAGTATTTAACGTTCTAAAACCTAACTACTTTATGGAATCAACGACAAATCTAAACTTGGGCACTCCAACCATTTATATTTTTGTTTTACAATATAACTTTTAGCATATTTTCAATTTTTTAGTATTTATTAAAATATTTTTACAAATAAAATGAATTATTATGTTTTAAGGTTAAATTCTTTGAAATTTGTAATTTTATGGCATGTAAATTGAGATGGTCGTTTGACTGAGAAAAGAGCCCTAATGATAATAATAATAATAATAATATATTTTTATATATATTAAAATATACAAATAACATCTCAATGCGCTTTACAATATTGTTCGAGAAGTTGGAGTTAATTAATTAAACATTTAAAAATGGACGATAATACTCTTTAAATAAAAACACTCTATCCCCATATGTTTTGTTGGATTTTATGGTTGGCAAGTTGAGTCTGATATAACATATATTGTTGTGTTGTTTTTTTTCAGCTTATTATTGTGCTAATTGGAAGATGACACCATATTTATGTAAAACAAATAAACCACCAAATACTGCGTGCAGATCACCAGGTAATTTTAGTCAGTTTTATAAACAACAGGTTAAATATTTTGTCTACAGCAGGAGGGCTGACAGAGAACAGCATCCAGTCATTCAAATAGCACGAAAAACGTAGGCCACATTGGCATGCTCGTCAAGAACCTTTGGCAGTTTGCATTCAATAAAGAATAGGCAGAAAGCTGATCTTCCATCACGACACACTGCATTCAACTTCACAAGAATTCCAAATTCCTGAAATGATTTCATTATCTTGGATTGTGCTGTTCTGTTTTCATGTTTGGCTGTTAGTGCTGTTATCACACAATTTGAATTTGATTGACACATGTCCAGAATAACAGGACACTGTTTCACAAAGCATCCATAGGCGTGGGCTACATTTATTTTTAAGTCATATTTCCAAAAGATCGGACTTGGCTATTAGGAGAGTTTTGGGGGGCTTTCTTTCTTAATGAAAAGCAGTAATTTTATATTCCCAAACAACAACAAATAATACAAAGATAGAGAGATCAAGCAGCTTTTTTTTCTATTAATTTTCAACTGTTGTTTTCTTTATCTGATTTTTTCACGGCCACATTGATATTTGTAGGGATGACGATTACTGCAGTAAATGCAGAATTCACGTAGTCTGAATAGACTGATGATGAAATAAATATATTTGGTGGAAAAATCACACACCCAGTTGCCATTAGTTGCCAAAGCTCATAAAATGAAGTTGCGGATTTATCCCTTTTCTTAATTACTGGGTGACCATATTTACAAAACATTGAACAAAACTGTTTTTACAAAACGTCATTATTATTGGCTAAGACTTTGTGTTAGGATTTTAACCTGCGACCAATGAAAAGACTCAATTCTTATGTTATTTTGGTATAAGTTTTCATGAATAAGGCCATTGGGGAAGCCGTAACATTAAAGTTATTCTTAGTTTGTATCATATATTAAGAATCAGGTATTACAACAACATGTTCCCACATTGATATCCATGTCTCTCTACTAGGAAATGGAATGGACTGAAATATGAAATGGAATTTGCCCATATCTGAATTGGAAAATTATCATCATTAACCTGGGTATCATTTAATCTTGTGTATCTAGCACTAATTTGTACTTGTGTCCAGTTTAAAGCTAATCATTCAATACCTTGTAAAAACTTTAGCAACACAATTTATTATTCATGTCGCTATCAAATTTCAACATTTTCAATTTATTATTTCTAGAGTTATAGCCTTTACTTCCAACCTCATGGGTTTTCTCTGGGTCCTCCCGTTTCTTCCCACTGCTAAAGACCCCTACACTCCAGGGAATTATTTAAATAAAATTGAACCATGTGTTAGTCCTAAAATGACCTAACTTGTGTCAAGTGGACGTTAAACCCCATTTCTCTCTTTCTCTATATAGCCCTTACTGACTTGTGTTATCTTGTAAACAATCCAGTGACAAAAGTAATCATCTAAAATGTTTTAAATATAGATGCATGATTGTGTATGATATATTTTGAAATTAGGGTCCACAGCCGCTGTATTTATTATGGAGACTATCATGGAACATGTGGCTAAATCACTGAATAAAGATCAGCTCGATGTCCGTAAATTGAACTTGTATCAACAGGGTCAGGTAACTTATTACTTAGTGTGATTTTATTGTCCAATAGTCTGTGGAGTTGCGGGAGCGGTGGTGGCTCAGTGAGTAAGACGCTGGCTCGCTAACCAGGAGGTCTCGGATTAGCTTCCGGTCTTGGCCAAGATGGTTTCTCATGATTTTACGGGGCTATTGCCCCTTGTCTGGTGCAGGACGGAGGGCCTGGCAAGAAACCAAGGTCCTGTGTATATTTGGCGTACACATAAAAGATCCCTTGAGAAATGAGAGTAGGCTGTAGCGCCGCTGTTCAGGCAAAATTCCCTTATAGCATGCTGTATGGTGTATGCCCGCTTCATTAGCTCAGTCAGTGCAGAAAAATAGGATGTTAAGCCCAATTTCATTTCTAGTTGTAAATAACATTGGTAACCTTTATCCTCGTAATACCCCAAAAAGTACATGTTACATTTTAATCATGGGTGTTTATAAAATGAAGACTTATGATTTTATTTTGTAGAAAACTCCACCAGGAATGGTATTAAAATATTGTAATATTCGATCAATGGTTACTCAGTTAGAGACATCTGCTCAGATTGCAAGCAGAAAGCAACAAATTGCCCAGTACAACGCTGTATGTATTATTAAATGTGTCTAATATTTTAAACTGGGTTAAAAAAAATGAGGTCCACATGTGTACACATTGACATGGCAACGGGTATTTGGTGAAGATTTGGCAGAAATGCCTCTGATCGAAAATATTTTTCACATGCAACCACTGAAATGACTAAATAACTAAAGTATTGCATTGATGATAAATGAAGCCCCCAATTCCATTACATTCGGTATATATTGTTATATCGAAATATCACAGGAAAAGGGTTTTCACACTTACTTATGTTCACGAATCTCTATCCAATCATGGCGGCTTAGTGAGGTGCTGCCCGACTCAACAGTAGAAAGTTCATTACAATTTTCCAGCGTGGTTTACCCTTGTCAGTTATGTAGGAGGAAAAGCCAAGTCTCCAATAAGGTCCTGTTTACATGTTGGCAGTTGGTATGATGCACATGTTAAAGAACCCCGGGCAGTTCTAATGTGATGATGAGTTGGGGGCAACTAGCTCAGCTGGTGCAGAAAAGTAGAACATTTAAACTCATTCTAATTACAATCTCTAAAATTATATGGGGGTGGGGGAGATGGCCGAATGGTTAGCACAAGCGCTCTGTATCATAAGGTCTGTCATTGAGTCAACTGGCATGGTTTCGAATTCCCTGTTGTACATGACAAGTAGAGGGTTGCCTCCGGTTTCCTCCCACTGCTAAAGGCCCCTACGCGCAAGGGAATTATTGAAATAAAATTGAACCATATATTAGTCCTGAAATGACCTAGTTTGTGTCGAGTGGACGTTAAACCCCATTTCTCTCATTTAAACCCCGTTTCTCTCTCTCTCTAAAATTATACATATCATTATAATATGCAGATCACCTCTCTTTGGAAATCAGTAGAAAACAGCAGTCTCTAAAGTCATTGATGTATTGAATGTATTTAAGTCACAATTGAAGACAATAATTTCCAAGCAAATATATGAGCAGGTTAATGGAAGGAATACTCTTTACAATTCATAACTTAATATCATACAATAATTGGCACCCCAAACCAGTTTCTGTTTGCCGACTATTGTTGTTTCCAAAATCTTATCTCCCATAGCAGATGCTTGTTCATTGTAAACTATGTCATGTTTCAGGCCAATCGATGGAAGAAGCGTGGTATATCTCTCATGCCGTTAAAGTTTGCCTTAAATTGGAAAGGCTCACAGTATAACACATTAATTAATATTAGTAATGGAGATGGAAGTATTGCCATATTTCATGGTGGAGTCAATTTGGGACAAGGAATCAACATCAAGGTTTGAAATCTTTCTTTTAAAATTACTACAGTTGTTTGACTACTACTACCAAGGAGGAACCCTATCAACTTTTTCAAATGTGTAGTCACAAGGTTCGCACACTCCTTGAAACTCCTTAAAAATCCTGGAAAAATGAAAATGTGATTTCCAGGACTGGAAAATCTTGGAAAAACAAGAAAACACTTTGAAACTCCTGGAAAATTAACATGTGTGGTTTCGCTATATACTTTAAGATATAAAACTGAATATAGTCATCAATGTTTCTTCAAAAATTCACAAGTTCGTCGCCATAAATGTTCAAGCATAAAAAAATACTTTCTGTTGTAGAATTCTATACAGTGACTCCTGGAAAACTCCTGGAATTTTAAAGGACAATATTGGTGCCAGTCATTATCACATATGTGATAGAGCTGGTTAAACACATTCCAAATATAATTTTATCTCAGAGATCATTGCTACGATAGCCGAGTAATACAGGTTTCCTGAATCGGAAGTGACGAACGCCAAAGGAAAAATAACGTGAGTCACCTCTCTATATAACTGACTGATGTGGTGAATGATAACGGGTATACGGGCGAATTTCTGCTCACTAATAATTCCTTCGAAGACCAAAAGTTGTTGTGTGAGACTGTGAGAGGATATCTGACAATTCATAAAAAGAATTGACTGTCACTAGATAAGAAAAACAGAAAAAGTCTGTGCATTACCATGTTTTTAGAAGGCATAGAATGAATATAAACAAGGGAATGTACGGACTATTTCTATTTTTCTCGTGTTCTCTTATCTAATGACATTCAATTACTTTATTGAATTGTCAGGTATCCTTTTACAGTCCCATATAACAACTTTTGGTCTCCGAAGGAATTATTAGTGAGCAGAAATTCGCCCGTATATCCGTTATCATTCACCACATCAGTCAGTTATATAGAGAGGTGACTCGTGTTTTCCTTTGGCATTCGTCACTTCCGATTAAGAAAAACTGTATTACTCAGCTACCGTAGCAATGATCTCTGAGATAAAATTATATTTGGAATGTGTTTAACCAGCTCTATCACATATGTGATAATGACTGGCACCAATATTGTCCTTTAAGTGTTCTGAGTTGTGCACACCCTGTTTGAGGAGTAAAATATGTAGTTATACAGGAAGCTCAGATAAGTTCTTGAATGGTCTACCAGCTGTTCAGTGTCAAGGTTTTGATCACACACAAGGAGTATCGTCGCCTGTCCAACCTCGTGGGTTTTCTCTGGGTACTCCAGTTTCCTCCCACTGCTAAAGCCCCCCACGCGCAAGCGAATTATTGAAATAAAATTGAACCAAATGTTAGTCCCGATATGTGCATTACTGTTGGGTGTTCTGATGTAATAAGACTATAATTTTATCATTACAGGTGGCCCAGACATGTGCATACGAGTTGGGTGTTCCAATGGATATCATAAGCGTAAAGAAGGCATCTACTATGACTAACTGTAATTCTCATACAACTGCTGGTAGCGTTACAAGTGAACTTTGTTGTCTGGTAAGAAGATTTGTTCTCTGCATGATAGGTTACTCTTGGTGAGATTTGATTTGGTACACCAAGGGTGGAAAGTATGCATACCTGTCTCTATCATAATCATTATTTATGTAAACCTTGACACTAATACCTAAACTTAAGCACATCTATTGCAACTGTTTTAGAGCATATATGTCGCAGCTGTTTTATAGCACATCTATCGTGACTGTTTTATAGCACATCTATCGCAACTTTTTTTTATAACACATAAATCTAACTGTTTTATAGCACATCTATCCGAACTGTTTTATAGCACATCTATGGCCACATCATGCTTTTTCTTTGATGATTAAGGATTAAAAGTCCATATAGTTTATATATTCTTCAAAAAAAAGTAGGGGATATTCAGGAACAATACAAAACTGCGGAAATGCACTGCTGTTTTTATTAGAGGTAACCAGTGTATGGCGCTATTGCATGTTGCATGTGCAACTCAGTGGTTCTGTACATATTGGGGCGATAAGTGTAGTACTATCCAACTACACATCTTAGTTTTTGGCCTGTTGTATCTTCCTTCTTTTGGACTTCACCATTGTGTTTTCTCACGATACCGACTCAAATAGGTAACAGGAACAACAATAGTGTTTTTGCTAAACATTTTATGTCACAACAGTTACACAGTAGTCTACATTACAATATTTAGAATTAACATCTCTTTCTCTCCAACCCCAGTCCTGTAAAAATCTAGCCAGCATGGCTAGACCCAGGAAAACACTACCGCATGAAATAGTCGTCTAAAGAATCCACATGATCTCTCCCCAATTATTCTAGTCCCGCTCCTTTATATCCTTATATAGGTGCATATTCTTTTGTCTCTGTTTATTCTTTTTGTCTCTGTTATATAAGTAAACAACTGATAACAGCTAAATTCCAAATATGGAATGAACATTCACCCCAAACCTGTATATCGACAGGGATTGTTACCTTATTTGGTCAACAAATATGATATATGTTTTATAACAAAGAAACATGTAAATGACCAACATGCTTATTAATCTATAGCTCAGTTAATGTATCAAAATAACCGGCATATACTTTCTATATTTGTGGTTATGATATTTGAATCAATAATATGAAAGATAACGCTATTGTTCTAGCCATCATATTTCTACATTCTTGTCTTTAGACCCCATGTCTTGTTATTGTCACACTATTCATAAACATTTTTAATTTGCGTTTCAGAATTAACTTATACCATAGCTAATATTTTGCCAATGGAGAATAATTGATCAAAACTCTAATATTATTTTACATAGATGTTTCAAAGCACAAATTCTTTCCCTCCATATTACTACATAAGTTCTTCACCTGTGAACATACTCTCAAAGCATGTCAAGTGTCCATGACTATTTATCATATCACAACGTGCATAGATATTTGCATTTCAATGTACCCTACTTTTTTTGAAGAGTATACTATAGTCATTTAAAAGATAATGACCATTGAATATATCGGGTCATAAAAATCTTTCCTGAGATTGTACTTTATGTATGGTTTAATGGTCGAGAGCAAGACATTAAGTAATATACTGAAACAACACAAGTGACAATAGTTACGAGTTGTTGTTTATATATATTACGCAATTTCTTAAGCTTGAGACCATTAAAATACAGACACTTGCACGTGCTTTGCAATGAAATACGTCACACAGGTCCAAAATTTTAACTAGTATAAATAATGTACGATTGTCACATTGCCCGTACCATTATTTAAAATAATGATACACCAACATCAAAGGATGATGTCACATCTATATTTTAAATGATAATAAACTATTAAAATGAAAAGCATCATTTGTTTTTGTTTTTTTGTGGAGGTTTTTAAAAGACACTATAATTATTTATCTACAGAGTGTTATAGAATGCTGTAAAATGTTGAAGGAAAGAATGGCGCCAGTTAAAGCTAAGATGGTAAATCCATCATGGAAGGATTTAGTTGTTCAATGTTACAATCAAGGTGTTGATATTACAGCTAGATATGTGTAAGTTTCATCACCAGTAAAGTTTTAATACATTTTGATTTTATTAAAGAAGGATTATGTTAGAGCTAAGTCTGCCTATTACAGGTTTATGTTTTGGCTTCAAATCTAATATGAGAGAGACACAGAGAGAAATGGGGTTTAACATCCACTCGGCACAAACTACGTCATTTTGAGACTAACATGTGGTTCAATTTCTTTTCATTATTCGCTTGCCCGTTGGGGTCTTTAGCAGTGGGAGGAAACTGTAGTACCCAGAGAAAACCCACGAGGTTGGACAGGCGACCCTACTCCTTGTCAAGTACAAGCAGAGAATCGAAACCACGCCACTAGACTCAATGACAAACCTTATGATGCAACGCACTATATGCATTATTTGAATTAGTTACAAAGAAGCTTATTAAGTTCCAAACATTTCTGTCAAGTGTTATGGCCCTTGTTTTACTTTAAAGGACATTGTGAACGCTATAACGCTATAACCCAATCTATGAAATTTATATGCAGTATTCAAATTGATGACAAGAAGAAGCCTTTTGAATTTCAACAATTTCAATTGAGTTATGGCCCTTATTTCACTTTGTAGAACCTTATAAATACTCAAAGGCTGAATCATCACGTAATCTGTATGAAATTTATATGCATTATTTAAATTATTAAAATAGAAAAGCCCATCGAAATTCAACAATTAAAGCCCTTGTTTAACTTCAAATGTAAAACCTTGTGAACACTGTAACGACAAAAGTTATCATTCGATCTGATTGACTCAATTCCAGTACGTTATGTGACTGACAAGCTGTGATTTGTTATTTTAGAACAGAGCCTACGAATGTCAGCACCTATACTCGTTATAATCAATATGGTGTGTGTTGTTCGGAAGTGGAACTTGATGTTCTGACTGGAGAACATCAAATACTGAGAGTAGACCTTTTGTATGATGCTGGTAAAAGGTAATACAATTTAACAACTTCATATAATTGCTCATTTGGTGGGGTGGTATATATGGTGCTTTCTAGAGTATGTCCTAGCGTGTCTAGCTTATGCAGAAATTTACTGTGACACAATCACTCACCAATTCATCAAAAAACTATGTGAATTCATGTCTAAAATGGCCCTAAAACTAAAAAAATGAAATGAAAATGAAAAAAAATGGAGTTTAATGTCCCACTGTTCTGCTTCTACTGGGCTAATGAAGATGGGTATACTCTTATATCGAATTTCAACTGCCAAGGGATCTTTTACGTGCACGCAACCTTGGTTTTTCGTCCCATTCTAATAACTAGATAGCTGTCCTTGTCAGGACCTCCAGAAAATGCTGATAAACTTTCTCGACCAATGCAGGGATTGAACTTGCATCGCGAGCCACCATTTTACTCACTTATCCACTGTGGCTTCCCTCAAACTAAAAGAAAGGTTCCCCAAACTAACTGAGAACATTATCTTCGTTAACTTAAGGGCCCCTGATTCTACCATACTCACATACATCTTCTCTATCCATGACTTTTGTTCAGAGGTTCAATATTATTGTATATCTTGTATATATAGTAAAATACATGTACTAGTGCTCAGTAAATATGGAATCTGGGAGCCTTTTGTCTTGTTATCAGAAATATTTTAATTCATTTAATGAAATCCGCTGATAAAAAAAAAAACAAAAAAAAAACGATAGAGGAAAATGTATTGTTTTGAAACAATCACAATCAATGTATAGAAATCTGACAACTAACAAATACTAGTATATGGACTAGGAACCAAGCATGATGTCATCTCAGCCATCTTGCAATTGGCTGGCAATCGATGCACAATTGTCCAAGGAACAAGCATGCCCAGTTGCATAACGATCGTATGTGAATTTACAGAGTCATGGGGTTTTATCGAAGAGCATTGCCACCAATAAGAATGACAATAACAACAACAGCATGAGTATAGCGCTAGGGGACCAAATGATCAAAATGTCTCGGGACCAATCGGTAAATTTACACGCTGTAAAACTATTTGCAAAGTTATGTGTTATCAAAAATGACTGATAGTGAAAATTTTCCAGTAGAAGCCCTGGTTTGCCATCCAGTTGTTAGTGATGTTCAACAATCTGTATCCACCAACAGTTTGTGTTCATCAAGAACTTGTGCAATCATACTTCTATTGATCCAACAAACTGTGTCTGCTTGTGATAAAATCCAACTTCCTGTGACAGCCAACAATCTGTTTGTATCTAGATTGTCAAGTCTGCTGCTAATGGACATATAAGGGGGCCGGACAAGCTGAAAAATGTGATACTGGAAGTGTTAAATCTGAAATTGTGATACTGAAAGTTTTAACTCTGAAATTGTGATACTGAAAGTTTTAACACTGAAAGTTTTAACTCTGAAATTGTGATACTGAAAGTTTTAACTCTGAAATTATGATACTGAAAGTTTGACCTCTGAAATTGTGATACTGAAAGTTTGAACTCTGAAATTATGATACTAAAAGTTTGAACTCTGAAATTGTGATACTGAAAGCTTTAACTCTGAAATTGTGATACTTTAACTCTAAAATTGTGGTATTGTGATACTTTAACTTTAAAATTGTGGTATTAATATTTTTTAGTTTGAATCCAGATATTGATATTGGACAAGCAGAGGGAGGATTTGTTATGGGTTTGGGTCACTTTTTAACAGAGAGAGTCATCTATGATTCTACTACTGGTGAAAACCTCACATCAAATACATGGGTATTTTATATTCATTTTCTTTCTCACTGGTATTTTATTTTATAACCGAATGTATGGTATATGGTAATTCCTATTCATCTCACAACCAACAGCGCCATAAAATGTTCTTCAGTATTAGCGCACTTTATAAATAACGATATTAATATCATCCCTTTATTTTACATTGTTTGATGAAGGTGCAAATAGGAAAGACGTCTTTGTTAACAATCTTTGTTAGATTGTTTGAGAATAAACTATTCATGGGGTGTACTGGTACCCCATAAAGATATGTTCATCTATTCTAGTTAGCCTATATTGCCTGGCTTCCCTTGTCAGCAGTGCAGGGTCGAACGGAAAGGGGTGGAAAAAAAATGTCAAGTTGTTGTTCAGGCAAATAGTACACTAAACATACATTATGCAAGCGCTAAATCTGCCGATTGCAGGTCTTTCTTTAGAACTGAAATGTTATCTAAATTATTAATTAGACATTAATTAAACATAGCTAAATCTGTCCATTGCAGGTCTTTCTTTAGGCCTGCAATATTATCTAAATTATTAATTAGACATTAATTAACCTATCCTAGACCATAATCAACTCTAGATGGCATCGCTAGCCTACGATCTTAAGTGGATTGTGAGCGGATTTACTGCATAACTGCATAAACGATTAAATGGATAATCGAGACTATACTGTTTATCGTACTGACTTAAGTAATACCGAGGCTAGGCAGAAATGTCATTCGCTTAGTTCTAGGTTCATAGTGGATCAATTTGAATGAAATTTTCAGCAAATTGCCTTTACATTATCTAGTTTTTAACTATTATAGTGAGAACTGCCAACTCGTTATCAAATCTCCCATAATGTATCTTTAACTTATCCAGACCATAATCAACTCTCGATGGCATCGCTAGCCTGTGATGTTTATTGGATTAGGTTCCAATTTCCTGTTCGACTTCCATTAATAATTTAATCATAAAATGGATAATCAAGACTATGTTTTTTATCAAAATTTTGACTGAAATTTTCAGCAAATTCCCTTTACATTATCTAATTTTTAACTATTATAGTGAGAACTGCCAGCTCTTTATCTAATCTCCCATAATGTATATTTAACCTGGTTGGTATAGAAAAGTTAAAATATTTTGGTATACACAGAAAGAAAAGATTTTTACCAAAAATGGAAAAATCTTTTACTAATGTTACTTTTCTTGTGAGTTCCTTAGAAGATGAGGAAATACAAATCAGGAAATATTTGTCTTGTTGAGTATTTGCCCCAAAGAATCTCTGTATATGTGTCACTTTTCACTATTTCACTGTATTTTCTGGACATGTCTTAAGCGATTTTCCAAATGTCCAACCAGGAATATGCCCAATGACATCAAGATACTGTGAATAGTATTCAAAATTCCAAAACTATTTGACTGTACTGAGTGTATAACTAGTACTTATCTCGATTATCCTTGATAATAGGCTCAATTGATTAGGTAATTAACAATCATCGGCTCCCAGAGAGAAGTTTACTGTTTGTTTCTCTCTGGGGAATTGTGTCGGCGATTTTGAATGTCACGTGATGCATCCTTCCGGCAGTTGCTTCACAAAGATCTAAAATGGCTGCTCAAACTCGCGTTTCTTCAGAAATTTCACATATTTTCTGCTCACGGCTGGATCATTCACATTGCACGATAAAAATAGTTTCCGGGTATATCATCAAATTGGCTGTTTCTGAATGAACTTTTGATGTCAAAATGTGGAAAATGTTCCAAGAATCATTAATATGTAACTCATGTGACTAAACCGATACCTGATTGTCGAGAAATCGGCAGCATTTCATTCAAACAAATCCAGCTAATCAGGCGCCACTGGAGGAGGAGCTTAGGAACCGAATTCTGACTGGAACATGGCCGGCATGATTTCCCAGAGATAAACGATCTGTAAACTTCTAACTGGGTAATTAAGTGATCAACCTATTGATTGTGTTATACAGTCTGAATGAGCATCACTGGTTCTGAGCGTTACCCTGATTCTTTTATATTACAGGAATATCACCCACCAATGCCAAAGGACATACCAATTGATTTTAGAGTTGAGTTTTTGAACAATTCTGACAACGTTAATGGAGTTCTAGGATCAAAGTGTAAGTCTTATACAGGATAATCCTGTATTTGTTAATTCCCCTCCTTAACCCTTTAGCACTGTGTGTCCATATAAATATTAAATTGCTCAGTTCTCTGAAACAAATTAGAAAAAGGGTGATATAGTTCATACCGATACATCCCTTTAGACCATCTCAACCACCTGAATTATGTTAATAACTCTCTGTGTCTAAGTGGAGGGGGCACAGCTATTCATGTGAGATGTGCTGTTCGGAGTGGTCTAAGGGGTGCTAGTGTCTGGCTTCCATTCACATATGCATCGGGGGAAGGGGCGGGACTGAATGGTTAATGTGTGCGCGTTGGATCATAAGGTCTGTCATTGAATCAAGTACATGACAAGGAGTAGGGTCGTCTGTCCAACCTTGTGGGTTTTCTTTGGGTCCTCCGGTTTCCTCCCACTGCTAAAGACCCCTATACGCGCAATCGAATTAATGAAATAAAATTGAACCAAATGTTAGTCCTGAAATGATCTAGTTTGTGTCAAGTGGACGTTAAACACCATGTGAAAGTAATGTTCTGAATGTATAAACCTGAGAATGCTTTGTGAACTCCGGGCAAGATCCTGTGGTCACATTGGCATGCTCGTAAAGAAGCCTTGGAGTTGACAAACCATTCTCAGACTTGAGTTAAGAATTTACTCAACTTTCAGTCACTGTTTATGAGAAATGTCTTTGATCCAGAAACACAAAATTTAGCACAGAGTTTCTTATTGATGTATTTGATACATTAAAACAACAAAAGTTTTATGAAGGGCTATATTTTAGTTAAAATAAGACAAACAATTTTGAATCAATTCTTAACCTAAAGTAGCTAAGTCTCTAACTCAATATCATCCAAAGTCTTCGACATTGAAAACAAGAATTATTTGTCAATTTAAATCAACATTTATGTTGTGATTTTACCGGGAAATATTAAAAACAAAATAAACATTTTACCATTGGTACATGAATCGTGTACCATAATGCGTTTCAGCGCCGTTTGTAACAAGTGGCTTAAAGAACGAAGCTAGACATAATCCACGAGTCATGGCAAACGGTGATGCCATATTTTTTATCTGGAGAGCATGCGCAATAAATAAATACTATCGATATAGAATGGAATAACCAGACGCTAGAGATTGACATTCGATTGAGACTTCCGGCGTATTTCGCTGAACGTAACTGATTTAAAATTGAAGTAAAAACGGAAACAGTTGAATGTAAATCAGTTAAAATACTTTCATATTACATTATTACATGCATTGCGACGCCTTTGTGTCAATTTCTAGGTCCCAATTATTACCGATTTAGCTCCTTTAAGTCTGAGAATGCTTTGTGAACTCGAGGCCTGGATCTATAATTGAAGGAATGATGATCAGTAGGCCTCATATATGTTAATTTATAAAACAATGTCATTTTTTTTTATTAAACAGCGTTAGGGGAGGCAACTGTTCCTATGTCCATTTCTGCTTTCTTGGCAGTAAAACATGCTATTGAAGCTGCAAGAAAAGAAATATCCAAGGATATATACTTCACTTTATGTGAGTTGAACACTTTTTATATTTGATTAATTAATAGACAATCGATCTTGCTTCAGATGTTATCATTGTGAAACTGATACTGTTCAATTATTAACCTAGGGCCTAATGTTTAGTATAAGGCAATCTCGATCAACATATACATAACAAGGATGGGGGTCACCTGTCAAACCTTATGGGTACATCAGTAACCCCCTTATCCCGTATTAAGTGGATGTGGAACCACATTCACCTCTATCTTTACAGGAGCCACAGTGGCTAAGTGAGTGAGATGCTGGCTCGCTACCTTGGAGATCGTGGGTTTGATCCCTAGTGTTGACCCAAAAAGTTCTTCAGGATTTTCTGGCATGATTTCCTCTTGTCAGTGGTGCAGGACGTGGGAGGGGGGGGCTGACAAGGACAGCTGTCTAGTCGTTTGGATGGGATAAAAAAAAAAACCAAGGTCCTGTGTATACATTGGCATGCACATTAAAGATCCCATGGCAGTTGAAATATGATATAAGAGTAGACCATATCGCTGCTGTCGGGCAAAATTTCCCTCATAGCACAGTGTATGGCATATGCCCCTCGGAGCATTTCATTTTTATCTGTCAGTTGTTATTGTCATCCCATCCAAACAGCAAGGAACACTTTCATTTTTGGTTTCATTAATTAAGGTGCTTGTGCGCTAACCAGGAGGACCTGGTTTATACCCGAGACAGTTCTATGTAGACATTCGTATACACATAAAAGAATTTGATGAAGAGTATGTGGGATCATGGTTGTCTGTGTCAGATGTCCCTAGTTAACCCCGTTGGTACAGAAAAGTATGATGTTAAACCCGATTTCATTTGTCAACTCCATATAGCTATCCCTGTCAACTCTATATAGCTATCCCTGTCAATATTTGATACTGATATACAATGTATATTTAACTATTGAATATTGTAAGTCAGCTGATATTATTATTATCATATTTCATATTTACTTACACAAACTGTTTCATTTATTTATAGATGGACCTGCTACAGTGGATACAGTTCAACTAAACTGTCTGACAGATATCACAAACTTAACCTACGGAAATTAATCTAAGTAAAAAAAAAACAGAAAAACTATTAGATCAATACTGTACAATTTACCTATGTAAATTAATTTTGAAAACGGCTCCTTTTTTAAAATCAAAATTTTGTATTTATTAGCATAGCTGGTTAATATTTTTTTAATTTTTTATAAACAATATTTTATTCTCAGAAAAGGATTGAGGATCAGGCTAGGCCTATATCACCTCTCTCCAACAATATGATATTGATGAAAACAATGTGAAACTTATCTCACCTACATATTGTATTGTATAATATTCTAGCTATTGATAATTATATATTTATCAAATTTAATTACTGATAAAACGTGGTTGTTGAAAGTCCATGTGTCCGACTGTGACACAGCAGTTTAGATATTTATATGTATATTCTAGATCAAGACAAGAATAATATTTTATAAGTCAAATAATTTCTTCTACAAATGTGCAATATAGATTTATAGATTATGAGTCAAAAAATGGACAGTATCAATTAATATTTTATAAATCAAATAAAATCTTCTACCAATGTGCAATATAGATTAATATTTTATAAGTCAACTAATTTATTCTACAGATGTGCAATATAGATTTATCGTTTATGAGTCAAATAATAGACAGTATCAATTACTATTTTATAAATCAAATAATATCTTCTACAAATGTGCAATATAGATTAATAATTTATATGTCAAATAATTTCTTCTACAAATGTGCAATATAGATTAATAATTTATATGTCAAATAATTTCTTCTACAAATGTGCAATTTAGATTAATATTTTATAAATTAAATAATTTCTTCTACAATTGGAGAGTATCAATTCATATTTTAAAACTCAAATAATATTCTACATAGATTTATTTTTTAGAAGTGCTTGGCCTTTATATATAAATAATTATATTGCTACTTAAAGATACATTATGGGAGATAAAATAAAGAGATGGCAGTTCTCGCTATAATAGTTAAAAACTAGATAGTGTAAAGGTAATTTGCTGAAAATTTCAGTCAAATTGATCCACTATGAGCCGAGAAAGAAGCGGGTGAAATTTTTGCATAGTCTCGGTCATCATTACTAAAATCATTAATATAAACAGCATAGTCTCGATTATCCACTTTTTCTGATTTAATTATCAACGGCCGTTAGCGGCATATAGGAATCTAATCCAGCCAACATCGAAGGCTAGCCTTGACATCGAGAGTTTCTTATGGTCTGGATAAGTTAATTAATGTCTAATTGATAATTTAGATAACATTTCAGGCCTAAAGAAAGATTTGTAATAAGCAGATTTTGCTCTTGCATAATGCATGTTTAATATATACCCGAGAATGGTGTTTATATTTTAATTTTGAGTTTAATACTGTCTTAGTTTTATACTGCCTTCTTATTTTACAAGGAGGCAACTTTAATTTGTATTGTTTAAATGACATTTAGTAATTGAACACATTAAAATAATGACAACATTTATAGTCTTAAAAATTACACTGCAGTTATGCTAATAATTTATGATAGCATTTAAATAGGTATGCCTCCAGACAAGATTTGGGTTTACTTTTAAGTACGAAATGGTTAAAAATGAACAGGTGCATTTTTCAGATGCAACTGTGCAAAAGGATTTGGCCAGGAACGATTTGAATATCCAAATTGGTCTGCTGAGTTTAATATAAAATTTAGTGATAAATATACTCTCCAATGCCACTCAAGGCTTATATAATTAGGTACAGCTATAATACAAATGGTTAAACATACATTTGATCAGTTGATTTTAAAAGTTAATTTTAATTGGATCAATCACTGGTTGAACAATGGATAAGTTAGTATCTGCTGGTTGTCCGATGCATCAATTGATGGACATTATAATAGGCCTGTTATTACTCCTACCTTATAATTAGTATCCACATATTTGTTGATTTTTGTATTGTTGATATTTGTTAAATTTTGTATTTTGTTAAGTATTTGTTAAATTTTCTAATTGCTATTGTTGAGTATGTTATATAATTATATATACCTTGTTTGACTTCTTGTTGATTTTGTTAAGTTTCAACAGTTACTGAGATCATTTATAATAATAATGTTTCAACGCTGAGATTATTATACTAATAAAGTATTATTATTAAAGTGCCTATTGTAATTCATATTACTATAGATCTACACAAATTATATTAAATTATGGTTCCTGTTAATATTCAAAGAATGCTGAAAGTATGTCATAGATCCAAATAAAATATAAAATACAGAAGTAACTAATAGATCCTGGGGGGGTGGGGGGGTGAATCAAATGTATGAAGCCATTAGTGAATGACAAAGGAATGGTCTGCATGTGGTTGAACTGAGAAATGTTTACAAGCCCCATAAACCGAAGACTGAGGTACATTAGTGCAAATGAAGGAGTAATTAACAATTGGATAGTTTAATTGCATCTTTCATCATAAATCAGAATGTCAGTTCTGTTTTATTTAGTCAATTTTGAGTAACAGGGCCAGATGGGATGTTGTGTGTTGCAGTTTACTGGAAGTTTCTTTTAATACAGCAGAGATTGATACAATTAATTAACTAACTTCCCCTTATCTACCACCCAGTATTAAAAGAAATATTGGTAAAGACACATAGAGCTAGTGATGGGAAATCAATGTAAACTTGAAATGGTCATGGTTCAACTTAAAATTATTTAATTTGAGTAGTTAATGGACCAAAATTTATTTTTTAAAAATAAAAGTAGGTGGACAAAAAATATGTTTTAAAAATAATTGAAGGTGGACAAAAATTAAATTTTTTTAAAAAATAAACGTAGGCCTTCTCCTTATTTATTCTTTATTCTAGTAATAGTATGTTAGGGATTTAATTACATGTTTCAGAATATGATCAAAATACTTTATATCCAGATTAACTCTTTAAGATATCATCCATACAGTAACTAACTGGAGTATCCTTGGCGGAGCTCACTTAACACTGAAAGGCATGGACAATTCCATGGAAATATTGATGGTTGTGAGATGAGATGGTGGCTTTCCCATGCAACATTATATCTGTAGAAAGTCATTTTGAGCATCATAGATCGAAAACTATAGAATTGAGAATGTTGCTAACAACTTTGTTTTTTCTGTTCGTTGACATTCATAGCCACAGTATTCATGGCTCCAGCCCCTGCCATATGTAGCTTATCTCTTATTCATAATTATCTTTGCCACAAAAATGCTTACTGAGGACAACTCAAACACCACCTAATTTAATTTTACCATCGGTATAGCTTACTTGTCTTTTTTTAGTTAAAGGGCCAATCCCGATAATATTTTGGAGAATAAAACTGCTTAATCTATAAAACTCATGAAAATCCCATACCTAATGGCCGAGCAACTAATTCAATATTTGTGAAATGTTTTCAAACATCTTACACCCGTCAGTCTTCATCTGGTTCTGGAAATGGAGACCGGTGTCCCAAGCTGTATTATATATGTGCGGTGTCTGGATAAAACCAGACTTTTATTTTATAAAAACAATGTGTAGGTGAAATTTACCTTTCGTTATCCAGTACGGCACATATGGGTCATTCACTGTATAGACCTCTAAAGGAACAGCGATAGTTTATCAGGTCATCCAACGAAAAAATTGACCAGAAATCTTAAAAGGGTGTACGGATAAGCATTTTTGACGTTCACGTCTAAACAACTCAATATTTCGAGCTTAAATTTTGAGACAAGGTAAATACACCATTCCTCTATATTTTGGCGCTTAAATTTCATATGAACTCAGACTTTTATTTTTGAGACTCTTTTCAAATCGGGATAGTCACTTTAAATTAAGAATTGGAAATTCATACTGCCGAGCTATAGACTTTTGCAAATTTCAAGAGCTGTATTAGTTACTTTAGTAACGAAGTCTTAGAGCTGTATATATTTTCGAATTCTGTACACCCAAAAATGATCGAAGAATATGCGGTATTTGAAGTTTAAACATCCACAGTATTGTAGTAAAATTGCCCAGTCTCCCTTGTGTCTATAATGCATTATGAATACTGTAACGCAGTTTCGAAGTAAAGTGTCCCACGAGTCCCAAATTGCTTATTTTTTCAAACCTTTTCGCAATTGGCCATTTCTGTGGATTAATTTTGTTTACAAAATAATGTCACGTGACGGCATACAAATTCTTCACGTGATCTTATCATGTGATTACACCGACATGCACTCTTAAAGTTTTTGTTATCAATTGCAAACGGTGACGAAGTGATTTACTGTTAGGTCTTGCATGATATCGGGGTTGACAGTGGCAAGTAGCAGACGCACATTTGTTACACCTTAAAATGCCGGTTTGCATAAACAGTGCCAGGCCCGACTTTGTGCAGTGTCCTGTCTGCCATGCAAGGTTTGTTGACACCACCCACTTTGACGTACATTTAGGCCTACAATATATTGTACGGTACAATATTATTTAAAAGAGCATGAGTTTTTGATTATAATTAAACCTATATGTTGTTGGTGAATCAACAATAATTATTTGATTATTTGACATTATTTTATATCCAATTAAGAATTTAATTGTCATTTCTTGCTCCTTATTCTTAGCTAGCTATTTTTCTGAAATTAAAGTGTTTTTTGTTTCCTGGGCCAGCCTTATAATGTCAAATCCAGGGACTAATAGAAACAATATTATTCGAACTTTGCAAATAGATTTACTACAATTTAGAAAGGGCTTGATTTTTGTACGCTTGGTACTATCATAGGCCTAGTTTGCGCAATTCGACCAAGAAATTTAAAATGGAAAATTCAGAAATATTTGAAATAATTTTATTTATTAAAAGGTCAGATTTGATGTTTGGAAAATCCAACCTATAGGCTATGCGAGTTTGGTCTAAATTTGGAATATCAGACCTGATTTGGATTAAAAGCGCTGCTGATCATCAGTAGCATTTTACAGACAAAATCTAATTTGTCACAGTGTAATTTAATCCATATTCTAAAATATACCGGTACTCAAATTGATTATTTCACATTTGATTAAAGAAACTAAACCAAAATATCATTGCCAGATAATTTTCTGCAAAATTTTAAATTGATTAAATATTTGTAAATAATGGAAAGGAACCATTTTTGAACTGACTTTTAGATTCAACTTTTACAATACGACCATCAGTGTCTTGAAATAAATTTGTGCCCTTGATTTGAAATATTCTCAAGTTCCTAGGCTTCTTCTATAGCTGGAGCTTCAAGTGTTTACAAATTATGACAATAATACTACCCTAAATTAAAACACTTTTTTTCAGTCACAGTCCAGTAAAAGGTGAACTGAAAGATGGAGTCTATGCTGCAGATTGTCAAAACTGTGGACATTTTTTCAAGTTTCGAGCAGCGGGTCCTTTTCGATCAACATTTTCTGTGACCATAAATGGACAGAGTTATCCAGGTGAACAATTTCTTTTATTAATTTCTTCACAAAGAGAGGGGTCACAGTGGGTAAGACGCATTGGCCGAGAAAGTTCATCCAGATTTTCCGGCGTGGTTCCCCCTTGCCAGTGATGCAGGACTGATGGCCTGACAAGGACAGCTGACGAGGTCCTGTGTACACATTGGCATGCATGTAAAAGATCCCTTGATTTACAGTTAGAATTCAATATAAGAGTGGGTCATAGTGCCGTTTTTTCTTCTTTTTTTTATAAAGCTCATTTTAAATGGATTTATTTTGAAATTTGGTAGAAATCATTCATTGATGTCGAAGATGAAAGTTTGTAAAGTTTTTTTTAAAGTGGGGAAAAGTTTTTACCAGACACTGGTGTTTTAACAGTCTTTTGATAGTTAATAAGTCCATCATCCCAAAGAACAGTAACGTTTTTACTTATTGGTACTCCTTTGCAATTAAACTATAACACATACTTATGGAAGAACAATTACTGACGTATTTAGGTGACGTTTCGAAGAGTATTCTCTCAACGTTTTCAACCAAGTAGGCCTACAATACCAGATGTGTAAGGCAATTATATATAGACAAGCTATAACAAAAAATCAGAAACCATGCATGACAATAACAAGATCAAAGGCAATATGGCGCATATAAAGGATTAGTGAGGTCACTGATGATTGGCATTAATTAACATTGGAGATATTAATAATTAATCATAGGGGTAAATAATTTGAGACAGACAACCAATAATAACAAATCAGACGCCGTGGAATTGTTTTATTTATATAATTATTTTTATTTATTTATATCTAAAAATGCAGCCATTTTTTCTCCCATTTTATTTATGTTGTCTTTATATTTATTTTTTATTTGTAGTTGATAACTCGTATCCAGGAAGTACGTCTCTAAATGAGTTTTTACGTCAGAAAGGAATATCCCCTGGAACTAAAGTGATGTGTATAGAGGGAGGATGCGGTGTGTGTGTCGTGTCAGCCACCATAATGGATCCAGTCACTAGTAAACCAAGGACTTATGCTGTTAATTCTGTAAGTTTTTTTCATGTTAAATTTTGTACTTAGTACTATAAGAATATAGCAATCAATGTAGTTACAGTTCATAACAGGGTAAGAATCTTATGTCAGAATGTGTATATTGCAGTGTTGTGTATATTGCAGTGTTGTGTATATCATATTATACATGTGTATATATAGTACATATTATCATGGTTATATGTATATTGCAGTGTTGTATATATCGCATTTATATGTATATTGCAGTGTTGTATCAAATTTATATGTATATTTCAGTTTTGTATATATCATATTGATGTGTATATTATAGTGTTGTATATAGCATATTATGTGTATATTACAGTGTGTTTTATACATATAGAACTTAAAGTTGCAATTTCATATTTTTAAGTTATATTTTCAAAATTTATTAAAATAAAGCCTTAAAATAGATGGTATCTTTAAACAGTCCTACCTTGTTAAAGAATGATCCTATTAACCCTATAATTCACTATTGCCAGTTGAGAAATTGGCAAAAATATCATTTTCAACTTCAAATTCAAACGTTTGAAGATAGCTATTCCATGGGGGGAATAGAAAAACAAGGGAGGTAATTGTGTTATTATTTCCGGGGTGAATGTTTAAGTGTGAAAATGATACCTATGATCGTATAATAGTGAGTTGACAACCTATTGAGCAAAAGACATAGAAATAATTATGTTTTGACTTTCTTAGAAAATATAAAATTCTTGCTTTAAACATGATAAACTTTGTATTGGTGTGATGTTTTATTTTAACCCAGTAAAATAAGCCAAAACAGTGTTTACAGAAGACTGAAACTTTAAAAAAATTTGATGGGGGTGGCCCCCCCCCCCACACTCTACCAATTGCGCTACATCGGCTGCTGCGCAGCCTCGTGCCTCCGGCGTCACAAATTGTCAACATTTTATATAATTTCATTTGCCCCCCCCCAATATATATTTCACGACTACGCCTCTAGTTGTTTATATTACATTATGTGTATATTACAGTGCTGTGTACCGTTATTACAATGTGATGGTTGGGATATAACTACAATAGAAGGTTTAGGTAACACTAGAGATGGTATTAATCCTATACAACAACGTCTAGCTGATTATAATGGTACACAATGTGGTTTCTGTAGTCCAGCACAAGTCATGTCCATGAACAGGTCAGATGATTTACATTGTCATTTCTTACATCTGATATACATCAGAAATGTAGCCTACTATACAACTGCATAACCCAGTGTCAATTAATCTTGCCTAAGTTTTAAACCATTATATTAGATGTACAACTTTGTTTTCTATTGGGGGCCATAGTATTCGAGGGTCAAGGGAACTGAACTCTTGATTAGAATGTCTTGGTGTACCTGATAAAATGTCTGGCACTATATTTGACTATACTTGATATTTTGAACTTTGTACTGTATATATAAATAATATGAATAAAAAAGACAGATATGTGCCAGGCACAAAGACAGGCGCCAGAAGGACAGGGAAGGACAAAGCCTGAATTTTTGCCTGACAAATGTGACATTTGCTTTTCTGGCTTGTGTGGCAATAATTAAATTACCAAATAGGCGGCCAGCATAACATAATTAAACATCCATTATTTTTATTTTTATCAATATAGTTTGTTAAAGACGAATCCAAAACCTACAATGGAAGAAGTAGAACAAATAATGGATTCAACAGTTTGTCGATGTACAGGTGCGTCAAATAACCATCTAACTCTACTTTTGTTTTAAAATTTCGAACAAGTTCTGCAGGTTTTATATTTCTGGTCATATTTTGAGTTTGTGAACGTGACACAGACAAAAAATCTTAATGGAATCTTCAAGAGGAATGGTATTTAGGTTCATGATACACAACAGAGTTCTTGGGATTGCTCAATTTGGCATCAGAAAGAACAATAATGAATCATAGTTTTTCAAAAAGGTTTGCCGACTTCACATTCACATTTTGACTGTTGTAGCTTTAGAATATTTAACCAAAGCATAGCCCAATTACACTGGTAAACTAATACTGTTGACGTATAAACCGGTGCCGTTTAGTAATGACAAATTTTGTCATTAAATTATATAAGTGATCATTATTCTAAACTAGTGTTTAAACATACATTATGCAAGAGCTAAATCTGTCTATTGCAGGTTTTTCTTTAGACCTGAAATGTTTTCTAAATTATTAATTAGACATTAATTAACTTATCAAGGCCATAATCAACTCTCGATGGCATGGGATTACTCCGACATTAAATAGATCAGAACAGTTCAGCCATATTTTGATTTAAGCTAAAAATGGAGGAACGAGACTTAGCTTCGAACAACCAGTATATAGTGGTTGAACTTATTGCACACGTCTTGTAAAACCTTCAAAGGCTAATATTTTCGCTCGCAATAGAGTAATTTGAATGAAATTTTCAAATTATTTATTTTACATTATCGTTTTCGAACTATTATAGAAAGAATAGCTAGATCTTTATCTAAATCTTATATAATGTATCTTTAGTATGTATAGAAAGTGGTTAGAAATTATACAGTTGTCATTAATTAGCTGGTGAGTAATAAGTAGCTGTAAAAGATGTCACTACTGGTGTAAAAGCTTGACTAATTATAACAACCATCACTATTGAATACACAACCCTGGACAATAATGGTGTGTATCATTCAATAGTCACGGTTGTAACACCTGAGTGGCATAACACCTAGTTAATGACTTCTGCCTGATTACTACCAATTTTAAATACGGTAATAAACATTATGTATATGAAATGAAGTCTTTGATCTGCTAATGTTATATTATATTATATTTATTTATAAAAGTTATTTGTCGCTTATTCAACAATATCAACTTATTAAAAACCTGGTACAAAATAAGAATTATGTATTGTTACAGGTTACAGATCAATCCTGGATGCAATGAAATCATTTGCTGCTGATGCTGGTCCTGATCTTCCTGGTGGCCTAATTGATATTGAGGTTAAGTTGTCTAAACTTCTATATAATTATTGCAGATTAAAAATGATCTTGAAACATATAAGTAATTCATATGAATTCTAGTTTTATTACCGGGATGCAAGTATGTTAAATGCCACACATTCACGTAATGAAATGTAATAGTGTTTATCGTCTTACCTTTTCTGACGAGGCTAATGAAAATGTGCCTGTTGGATTTATTGACACCGATTTTAGAGTTTTGCTGCTGGTGGGTGAACATGTGTCTAGGAAAGATGACGATCATTGGTCTGTCGGATTAACCTCAAAATTGCTAATATGTTGAGTTTGTTTTAGCTTGAATTATTTCCTGTTTTTCTTTTGTAAAATGATAGGATTTAGAGAGAAAGATTTGTACGAAAACTGGTAATCCATGTACAGGAAAATGTTCTTCTGACCAACCACAGACCATGTTACATATGGTGACGGCTGGAAGTCAGTGGTTAAAACCAACCAATAAACAAGAGCTTTACACATTACTAAACCAACATAAGGCAGATAATTACAGACTTCTACATGGTAACACTGGCTATGGTGAGTTACAAATATGTTTTGACCTTTATGGGAGTTCCTGCAGCTTTAAATTACAAGACAGAGAGACTTTAAAAATAAATTTTTAACTGCTTGAAACAACTGCACTTGAGACTGTCAAAAGATGGTTTAATGTGTGCACATTGGATCATAAGGTCTGTCATTGAGTCAAGTGGCATGGTTTCGATTTCTGTGTCCTTCATTTTCCTCCCACTACTAAAGAGCCCTACCTGTAAGCGAATTATTGAAATAAAATTGAACCATATGTTAGTCCCAAAATGACCTAGTTTAATTTAATTTTCAGGTGTATACAAAGATATTGGTGATTGGAATTATTCTGTTTTGATTGATGTCAGAGGTGTTGTAGAATTCAACATAATTCAGGTAGGTTTCAGCTGGCACACTAACCAGGTGGTCATGGGTTAGGTGTTTGTACAATAATTTTTAAAACCATGATGAGTTTATTCAATGGGGCCTAATGAGGAAACTTTCGGGATCTGTCAGAATAGTGAGCTAAAATGGGGTTCCACAATGGCTTTTCTTTATTCAAATGAACACATATTTGCAAATTAATGGGGGGGGAGGGGGCAGGGGTGCTGAGCTATGAATGTATATCTTTTCATATGACTCAGATTCAGACTGTTTGTTGGAATGTAAATGATAGAGAGTTAATGTCTTGTGAAGGTATATAATAATGAGTTACTTCTTTGTTTTATTTTTAAAATAATAGCAAGGGGGAGCGACTATCAATCTTGGTTCCAACCTGACAATAACAAATCTACTGGAGTACTTCAGGATAAAGGCAGCTGAGAAAAATAACTATTTGAAATCATTCTACTCAAATATTTGTTTACATTTAGAAAAAGTTGCTACAACCTCAATTAGAAATGTAAGTTGAAGTTAGAAATCATGCTAAAATAATTGTTTGTGTTGCAATTATGTGCTTTAAAAAATGCAAATCTCTATCTCAATATCATCCACAGTTGTTGGTCAATTTAAATCAACATTGATGTTGTTGTCTTACCATGAGCACCATTGGTAATAAAGCAACTCGATGAATGTGGCTAAACATATCCCACAGGAGAATACTACCGGTGTAGACTGGAATAACCAGACACCAAAGACTGCCATTTAATTTCGACTCTTCGCGTATTTCCCCGAACATAACTGATTAGAAATTATAGTTAAAAATCAGTTTATATACATACATATTACATTGTTATATGCATTGCGACCCATTTGTGTTCATTTGTAGGTGCCAAAGAATAGATATTTAGTTGCTTTAAATCATAATAAACAGTGACAAGTTTCAGTTTGAAACCTTTATATTTATGTTATTCTTGTGAATATGAAAATTATTCTGGTTATTGGTAATTAAGTTTTATTAATGGTGCCTGAAAATCTGAAAATAATTAATGAAACAATCATATTAATAGACTACTTTTCCAGTTTAAACCTTTAGCCGCAATACGCATATGAATATCTCTCTTACAAATTTTAAAATAATGCTCTAATTTTAATATGTTTCTATACTTTGTGTTCCAGCTTGGAACTTGGGCTGGAAACCTGATGTTGAAGCACAAACACCCAGAGTTCGTATCGGACATTTATTGTATTCTTGAGGCTATGAAAACTACTCTGGTTATTGGTAAGTTAAGTTTTATTTATGTTTTTGGTTATTGATAAGTTTTAATGATGTGTTTGGTTATTGGTAAGTTTTAATTATGCATTTGGTTATTGGTAAATTAAGTTTTAATTATGCTTTCGGTTATTGCACAATTTGCAGAGTGCTAGAGTTTCCTAATAAGAATTGTGAAATTATGGATAATGAGAAAAAAATCAACCCAAATCTGTTAATGTGTTCTTTCCCACAGTTTCTGGTCTGAGATACAAATCCAGAAAGAATCCTGTGTGTAATCCTTGGTTTTCTCCATGTATTTGTGGGTTATCTGTGTGATACCTGGTTTTCAACATGTACTGTAATTGTGGGTTATCTCTGTACGATACCTGGTTTTCTCCATGTACCTGTGGTTATGTATATGTGAGATATCAGGTTTTCGACATGATCATAAGGGTCTTGAAAACAACATGTTGAAGGAAGCAATTAGAAGTAGTTTAGTTCTGTTGGATTTCAATCTGATGCTCACTCGTCACATTTATTTTAGTATCGCAAAACTTTCGTAGCACAGCTTATTTTATGGTCAGTGTAATATTTCATTTATCATAATTCAACAGGTGACAGTACTGGTAAAGAAATGAATTACAACATCACAGACTTCCTTAAACTGGATATGACTGGCAAGGCCATCACCATGGCAATGTTACCTATTGTTAACAACCCCAATGTCAATATTAGAACTTTCAAGGTTATGCCAAGACATCAGGTCAGTATATTTCAGTACAAAAATGCGCAGCCCCAAGAGTCTTATAATTAAAATAAACTCAATAAACCAAATTGGAAATTGAAATCTTTCACTGCCATATCTTTCCATACAGCTGTATCTGAAAATCGTAATTCTCTACCAGATGAACTTTGATCCATTTTGAATTTGAGTCCATTCAGATCTTGTCTAAAAACTTACCTGTTATGGAAATGAAATGGGGTTTAACATCCTAGTGTTCTGCTCCTACCGGGCTAATGAAGACTGGCATATGCCATACATTGTGCTATGAGGGAAATTTTGCCCAGACAGTGGCACTACTCTTGTATCGAATTCCAACTGTCAAGGGATCTTACGTGCATGCCAATATGTACACGGGACCTCAGTTTTTTTTCCGATCCGAACGACTAGACAGCTGTCCTTGTCAGGCCCTCCGTCCTGAATCACTGTCAACGGGGAACCCAGCTTGAAAATCCGGAAGAACTTTCTCGGTTGAACACCCGATCTCCAGGCTACCGAGCCAGCGTCTTACCCACTTAGCCACCGTGACCCCCTACCCGTTATGGACTCTGTTACTAAATATAAGCATAAACTCTTGTGTGTGACGATGATTCGGAAGCTTTGTTTTATAATCCATTGTGTTACAATTAAAATTAATGGACATTTTATATTATATTATATGATAAATGATCATTAGGATTGTTAAAGTCACGCAGCCACTTGTCAAGCAGACCAAATTATACTTTAATAGTAGTTATCGGTTCCCCCGTTGTATGTGACAAGGAGTAGGGTCGCCTGTACAACCTTGTGGGTTTTCTCCGGGTCCTGCTATTTCCTCCCACTGCTAAAGACCCCTATGTGCAAGCGAATTATTGAATTAAAATTGAACCATATATCATTCCTGAAATGACCTAGTCAAGTGGATGTTAAACCCCATTTCTAGAAAATAAAAAGAAAAAAAAAAGGAAATTATATTTACAGGGTATAAATACTTTCACAGATTTTTGTAATTAATTTAGTTGTTTACATTTATGTAATTTAACTGTTTACAATAACAGATTATGTTTGGTATTTTTAACAGAATGCTCATGCATATGTGTCTGCTGGTTTTAACATGGTGGTTGATGCAACACAGAATTATCTTGTTGCAGGAGCTCCAGTCCTGGCATATATTGGAATCAGCAAAGTATTTGTAAGTTAAAATTGGAAGTATATCATTGGAGGGAAGCTTATTAGAAGACCACCATTTTATTTCCTCATTCTCCATTGAAGGCTATTTCAAGCCCCTATTTGGTCTCAAAACTCATTAGTAAAAGTCATTATATGAATGATTTACTACACTAGGATCTGGAAGAGTTGTTATATGACCCGCATTCTGGTTGAAGTGAGGGATAAGCCAATGAAATGGTCCTGATATGGCGAGGTCTTAATGTTGTGCGATGCACGGAACTGTGGGTATACCACTAGAAACGTCAACGCTGATTGATTATTCAATGTCTGGCGTTATTATAGGGTCAAAAGCCGCTTGTGTGATCCCGAACGCCACCTTCCAGTACAACCCGTCAGATCTTCATGTAGTGTAGGCCATCGAAAGTATAAAAAAATGAAACGAAATATAGATCTGTATTTTAATCAGATTGCAGACATGCCAGGAATGAATCAAAGTTACACAATAAAGATTAAAGTAAAGAAATTTGACTCCAAAAAAACCCAAACTTACACTAATAAAATTGCTGAAATTTTCTTGTTACATTTTAGACTCGAGCTACTTTAACAGAGAATTATCTTTCTGGAAAACAACTTGGTGATCCAAATGTTCTTAAAGGTAATAAAACTTCATGTTTGGGAATTCTTCTTTCCAGCTGGTTGTTGTGGTGTATGTTGGAAGTAAATTTAAATATATTTAATGCTTTTGAAACCATTTCCACAGATAGCTTTGACATGTTTTCCCCCCAAACACTTTTTTACCTGACCTCCATCTTCATTAATGATCAAGTTCTTTGTTTAAAGCTAATCGTTAAAAGGTAGTTGATAGTAAGGCCAGACTAATTTGATTTTCTGTTTCAGAGTCTT